GATGGCCCAGACACGCTCTCCAAGGTTGGGACTCAGAAACCCACCACAGCAATGCGCTACGGCCCGGACCCCATCCTCCCAGACGTCCTCCTAGCCAGACACGCTGTCCTCCAAAGTCTCAGCGGTCCCAGGTGATCATGAGTGAAGCCCAGGTGTGCTCACTTCTAACTGCAGCGTCCGTTTTAAGGAAAATCTCCACTCCCCTGCTCGAAACCTCACAGCGCCAACATCGCACAGTCTGAGCACAAGTGAGCCGTCTTGAAAAGGAGGGCGGCTGTGCGTGTGAATGAGCAAGGAGAAAATGAAACAGGAGCCCCAGCTTACACCCTTGGAGGAAGCTTCCAGTCACCTCACCTCCAAGCCAGGTGGGGTGACGTCATTTCCCAGCACTCGGGACTCATAGATGGTCACCGGTAGGCCTAGTTATCTGTTTAGTGAACGGTGCTGTGCAGGTGGCCTCAATGCAGAACAGACAGTGTCAAACAAACGCATTGACTCACTGACAAAGGAGAAGGAAACTGGGAAGAGCCCCAGTCGTCATGACCCGAGACACTGAGGGCAGGCTCTGGAGGAACCATCCATGCACAGCTGCATCTACTATCTGCTATCTGGACAAACACAGAAGGTGTCCACTGGAACCAGTCCACGCAGATACAGGCGGCCCTCTGAGGAGGTTGGTTGGTGTTGGGCTTAGACTTCACAGGTTGTCTGGTGGTAATTCAGCATGAAGGTATGGCTGGCTCTGAGATGATTATCTCAGATTATCCTTTCACAAATGAAAATGTTTGCATAAAAGGAATCTCAGAAATCTGTGTATTTCATGTTTGAAATGTTATGTAGACTATCGAATTTTTTTCTTGAATTATCTGGTTATTAAAATTGTTATTCTCGTTTTGCTTATTATGTTTTTAAGGGATGGTAACATTTCACCCTAGTGTTTCAGGGCTGACAGAGACTTAGAAGTCATCTAACTGCCCTCATCTTACAAATTTAAAAAGTGACATCCAAATTGATGAAGGGACTCCCTGAGTGACGCAGCAAGGTGGAAATGAAGTCCGTACCCCATGCTTGTGTCTTCCAGGGCAGCGGTCCCCATCCTTTCTGGCCCCAGGGACCGGTTTCATGGAAGACAGCTTTTCCACGGTTTGGGGGTGGAGAGGATGTAATTCAAGTGCATTACATTTTTTGTGCACTTTATTTTTATTACTACATTGTAATATATGATGAAATAATTTTACAACTCACCATCATGTAGAACCAGTGGGAGCTTGTTTTTCTGCAACTAGATGTCCCATCTGGGGTGACGGGAGACAGTGACAGATCATCAGGCATTAGATTCTCATAAGGAGCCGCAACCTAGATCCCTCCCATGCACCGTTCTCAACAGGGTTCAAGCTCCTGTGAGAATCTGATGTGGCTACTGATCTGACAGGAGGCAGAGCTCAGGTGGTCTTGTGAGCAATAGGGAGTGGCTGTAAATACAGAAGAAGCTTTGCTCGCTTGCCTGCCGCCCCCTCCTGCTATGTGGCCCAGTTCCTAACAGGCCACGAACCACTACGCATCAAGAAAAACTGGTTTCCTAAGAAACACAAAACTGTTTATCTTCACTTTCACTAGTGTAATTGGTCTAAACTGTTTTAGAAGTATTGATAGAAGAAACAAACAGGACAATCATTAGTTTCCAAAACTTTCAGGGGTGACATAATTGTTGGATAATCGGATACCTGAATAAAAATTTAAAAATAGCAAAAGTTTCTTATTATTACCACTATTACACAGCAGTTCCTATCATTCATTGAGTACCTAGTAGGTGCCAGGTACACTACTAACTTCTTTACATATATATATATATTTTTTTTCTTCATCTCATCCTTAATGCAGCCATGTGAGATTAGCATTTGTGTGACTTTACAGCAGATGATATTCATGTGTAAGGTTGAACATCTGTCCAAAGTCAGTCAGTCAACAAGACCTGCCGTGGGCAACGCAAGCTCCTCCTGGTCCGTACACACCGTGTCCTCCTCCCACACTCTCTCCCAGCACCTTCTTACCCAGGGTCTGACTGCACCAAGAAGCTCCCTCGTGGCCCTTGGTCCTCCTGGCCTCTCTCGTCTGTCTGATGATCTAGGCACCCTCCTCAGCTCACCTTCTCATCTCAGTCCCCGTCTGAACATGGCACTGGCTGTCTTCTGCTCCCTGCATCTCTAGCCTGCACCTCCTCTCCTCTGTCCTCCGCTTTGCACCCTGCCATTACCTATCCAACATGCATTTTCATTGCATTATTGAATGCTTAAAAGAACTCGAATCACTCCCTGTTTCGTGGGTCAGAATCCAGAGTCCCATCATTCATCCATGAGGTTGATCTGACCCCACCTGACTCTCCACTCTAACCTCTACCCCCGGCCCAGCCCCGCTGCACACACTCTGTGCCCCAGCCTTCGGGGTTTGTGTGTGTTTCAGTTTTGTGAGCCTGTGGTGTTCTTACGTATGTTCATGTCTTTTGCAGATTGTTTTAATTGGGATGTATTGAAATGCTTTCTTTCCCTCCCACACATCCTTTATGTGTCTGTGAAAGCTCATCAGCAGCCTCACCTCTTCCTGACAGCCTTGCTAGCACCCATGCATGCCTGCCCTCTGTGTACAGGACATAGAACCCTCTGCACATTTTCATCATGGGATTTCTCACGGTTCATCCCCTCATTCCGCAAATGCCTGTGGAGTGTCTCTGACATGCCGGGTGTTTGGCGCACAGTGTACGCAGAAGGGAGTGGTTCTAAAATGGTATTTCTGACTTGTCTAAGTCCCTTGTTAGAGCATAAAGCCTTCGTGTGAGGATCTGTGCCACTCATCTCTAAACTCCAGCATAGCCCAGGACCCACCATAGAGGAGTCGCCCAAATAGTAAACACTGGTTGGGGTCATGACTGAATGATGATTCACGATCCCAGATTCAAAGCCAAGCTAGTCAGGGTGTGCAGGACCCCCCTGCAGAACCACGGGCCAGTGAGAGAGGCCACACATCTCACCCTGCAGAACAGTGGACCAGTGAGAGAGGCCACACATCTCACCCTGCAGAACCACGGGCCAGTGAGAGAGGCCACACATCTCACCCTGCAAAACCACGGGCCAGTGAGAGAGGCCACACATCCCACCCTGCAGAACCACGGGCCAGTGAGAGACGCCACACATCTCACCCTACAGAACCACAGGCCAGTGAGAGAGGCCACACATCCCACCCTGCAGAACCACGGGCCAGTGAGAGAGGCCACACATCCCACCCTGCAGAACCACGGGCCAGTGAGAGAGGCCACACATCTCACCTTGCAGAACAGTGGACCAGTGAGAGAGGCCACACATCTCACCCTGCAGAACCACGGGCCAGTGAGAGAGGCCACACATCCCACCCTGCAGAACCACGTGCCAGTGAGAGAGGCCACACATCTCACCCTGCAGAACCAGGCCAGTGAGAGAGGCCACACATCTCACCCTGCAGAACCGTGGGCCAGTGAGAGAGGCCACACATCTCACCCTGCAGAACAGTGGACCAGTGAGAGAGGCCACACATCTCACCCTGCAGAACCACGTGCCAGTGAGAGAGGCCACACATCTCACCCTGCAGAACCGTGGGCCAGTGAGAGAGGCCACACATCTCACCCTGCAGAACCGTGGGCCAGTGAGAGAGGTCACACATCTCACCCTACAGAACCACAGGCCAGTGAGAGAGGCCACACATCTCGCCCTGCAGAACAGTGGACCAGTGAGAGAGGCCACACGTCTCACCCTGCAGAACCACGTGCCAGTGAGAGAGGCCACACATCTCACCCTGCAGAACCACGGGCCAGTGAGAGAGGCCACACATCTCGTTCTGCATAAATGGAGTGTTTGCCTGTGGTAGTTTGCCTCTATGTCTTCCCTATCACACCTATTTTTTTTTTGTAGTATATATATTATTTCTAGAACAAAAGTGAATTTGTAATGTGGCTTTGAAAATCGTTCTTTCTCAGTGAGAACACTTGGACACAGGGTGGCGAACATCACACACCAGGGCCTGTCGTGGGGTGGGGGAAGGGGGGAGGGATAGCATTAGGAGATATACCTACTGTAAATGATGAGTTAATGGGTGCAGCACACCAACATAGCACATGTATACATATGTAACAAACCTGCATGTTGTGCACATGTACCCTCAAACTTAAAGTATAATAATAATAAATAAAAAAATCATTCTTTCTCAAGGAAAGACTGTAAGCTTCTGCTGTAAGGAAGGGTCTTGTCCAAGCCTGATTTCAGCATGATTTAGTGGTGATTACCGCTAACACTGAAGTTGTTTTCTGGAATGCTGGCGTGGGACTAATAACATCTAAGACTGAGGAAGTTCTGCACAACTTTGAATGATGCAGTTGCTTTCATAATAACGTTGACAAGCCCTATGGCTCATCTTGTTTCAGGAGGTTATCAAGTCTAAAGATATAATTTAATCCATAAAATATACAAATCCAAATATATCCAAAGCTCTTTCACGACATAGACATTTTTATATTTTACATAAATATGTATGTAAATATAATGGGATTAAAATAAATCTTGCTTCAGATGTATATTATACATAGTATATATTTGGTAAAATGTTTCATAAATTAAATTTGTATTGTCAATTGCATGTTATGTACGTTATGCAAACCAACCTCATGAATTTTCGTAGAATCTCTGGAATTGTAGGAATGAGGAACTAGGAGACTCGGACTAAATGTGAATGGTAACGAGACAAATATGAGCTGTATTTATTCACACCATCACTTCATTAACAGATTCCAGCACACTTCGGGGGACGTGTGTGTTTATGTCTCTCTGGTGTTTGTATGGATGACATTCATGATAAGCCTTTAAGTACCTTGATCAAGGCTCCCATTGGTCTGATTTTAAAAGACAGTAACACAGATCTTTTTTTTTTCTCTCTCTCTCCCCTGCCTTCTCTTTTTTTTTTTTTTTTTTTTTTATTAGTGTATATGGTTGTCCCTTGGCGAAAAAAAGAAAAACACAAGATAAACAGCCCCAGGAACCTGCTCCTAAACGAAAGCCATTTGCCGTGAAAGCAGACAGCTCCTCAGTGGACGAGTGTGATGACAGTGATGGGACTGAGGACATGGACGAGAAGGAGGAGGATGAGGGGGAGGAGTACTCCGAGGACAATGAGGAGCCAGGGGATGAGGACGAGGAGGATGAGGAGGGGGACCGGGAGGAGGAGGAGGAGATCGAGGAGGAGGATGAGGACGATGATGAGGATGGAGAAGATGTGGAGGATGAAGAAGAGGAAGAGGAGGAGGAGGAGGAGGAGGAAGAGGAGGAAGAAGAAAACGGTAATCTTTAAAATATTAGCAAAATAACAAGTCGTGATTTGGGTCCACTGTTCAAGGTGAATTGCCGGCTGTTACTATGAATGATTGGCATATAAAGAAATCATTCTGCTTGGTCAATACTGAGAAAATTAACCTCTTAGGTGAACTGAACACTTCTATTGAAGAATTCTTCAGATTCTCTGTTACACTTCAGATTTTATGTCAGTCTAATTTTTATTCAGGTTGGTTGTCAGTAATTTGCTGAGATATTTATGGTGTACCTTTCTGATTATCTTAACAAAATGTATCAAGGAAGTTAAGTTAGCAGACCTGGTCTTTAATTTTACATTTTCTTGAATGCTCTATCCATGAGATACAATGATTGGGCAAAACAGTGTTGTTGGAATGGCTTAGCCCAGGTACCTCCTTAGGGGAGTTGGAACTCCTGCCTAACTACTGGTACATCAACCAGCAAAGTGAGTTTTGTCTGTAGATTGCCAAAGCTTTGCTTTAGTGATGGTCACGTAGTTGGGATGAAAGGAAGTACTATTGCTATACGATAATCAATCAGCCCGTCATCTGCTTCCATATGTGAGAGCTGTGTTTCTGGTCTGGGGTTTCCGGTGCCCTGAGACATGTGGGGGAGAAGGCCGCCGTGCTAGGTGTTGGGGATGTTCCCGGCAGTGCATTTACGGTGACGTGGTTTTCATATCCAGTGTTCTGTCACTATCTGATGCACAATACAACTTCAAAACTAACGCTTTCATAGAAGTCATTGCTTCTGAGGAAAGAGGTGGGAGTTTTGTGGTTTGTTTGTTTGCTTGCTTGTTCGTTTTTTTTGCAAAGCCTAGCTATCATCTTTATTGGCTTAGGGTTTTCCTCATAGAAATGCCCAAACATGTTGAAAGGGGAGGGAATTTTCTTTCTTGCCCTTCTCCCTTGGGCTCAAAAGTTCTTCAAGAGTCTGATTTCCAGGAGGACTAATTTCTGGACACAAAGGGTGGTTGTTTGAGCCAGTGGGTCCATACATCAGGTCCCCTCCATACATCAGGTCCCTCCATACATCAGGTCCCTCCATACATCAGGTGCCTCCATATATCAGGTCCCTCCATACATCAGGGAGATGTGAGTTGCTTGTTGCTAATCTCATGGGCAGGCTTAAATTACCACTCCTCCTTCAGAAGTCAGAGGAGTTTGTACTAGGAAACCTGAATTTTAGGAAATAATCCTAGATTGTGACAGTGGCTTAAGATTCTAATGCAAAGAATCCATCACTTACATGTACATAAATACACAGGCACAGATAGACATATAGAAGATAGATATGTGTATGTACACGTAGATGCATATGTACACACACATAGATATATATACACATAGATGCATATGTACACACACATTAGATATATATACACATAGATGCATATGTACACACACATAGATATATATACACATAGATGCATATGCACACACATTAGATATGTATGTACACATAGATGCATATGTACACACACATAGATATATATACACATAGATGCATATGCACACACACATGCATTATGTAAATTAAAATTAGTCTCCCAAGATTTTTTGTCTGTCTATGGTAGAATGCTGGGTGGAGAAGCCTATCAGAACACATATCAACAGACTTACCGTCATTGCTATTAAATCTACCGGGGACACGAGGCACCAGTGTCATTAATGAGATGGTAAGAATTAAAATGATAGATTTGTATAGTAAAATATTTGGAAAGTAGATCAACCTGGCAAATTATTTCTGAACACTGTATTAAGTGAGTGTGGTTTTGAGGGACCTCATTAATCGTGGAGGCTGATTGATGATCTGTAACTTGACCAGGGCTTACCAGAAAGATGGTTACAGTGTGGCCGTTTCACGTTCTCATGCCGTTTGGAAAGCAGGAGGCATTCGTGTTTGGTGTGACGATTAAGATAGGAAATCTGTAAATAGGTATCGTTTACACCAGGGACCTTAACCAGGTTTTGCTCTCCATTTTCTAGAATTAAAAATTCAGTTTTAGTTTATGGTCAAATTTAAATATTTCTTTAAAAGTACGAAGTGATATACTTTGAAAGGTAGTCAGAAGCCCTTATTGAAACAGTTTGAGAATGTGACTGCATAGGCTTTGTTTATTCTGACTTGAACACTTAGGACGTAATTGTTTTTAAAAGCCAGAAAGCAAACTAGAATTAAAGACATTTTTGCCAGAATAATGTGAGTAAATGGGCACCCAGTGGATGTGTGACAGCGCCGCAAAGGAACAATGGCTGATTGTGCCTCAGGACCTAGGATTTCTAACTCTGTGGCCAGACCTGGCGTGGTGACCACCTCTCAGGTGGTCAGTTTCAGGTGGTCAGTCTCAGGTGGTCACCTCTCAGGTGGTCAGTTTCAGGTGGTCAGTCTCAGGTGGTCACCTCTCAGGTGGTCAGTTTCAGGTGGTCAGTCTCAGGTGGTCACCTCTCAGGTGGTCAGTCTCAGGTGGTCACCTCTCAGGTGGTCAGTTTCAGGTGGTCAGTCTCAGGTGGTCACCTCTCAGGTGGTCAGTCTCAGGTGGTCACCTCTCAGGTGGTCAGTTTCAGGTGGTCAGTCTCAGGTGGTCACCTCTCAGGTGGTCAGTTTCAGGTGGTCAGTCTCAGGTGGTCACCTCTCAGGTGGTCAGCAAGTGCTGAGTCCAGAGCACGGAAGACAGGAGGTGCCGAAAGCAAACAGCTGTGAGAGGTGGCAGGACCATGAAATAATTCGTAGTCAATTGTGGGGTGTCTGGTTTCAGAATTCATGTTCAGCGGTTGGCTCCCAAGGAAATAACTTCTATTATCACCTATGACGTGACCTTTAAAGGAATCAGATGAACTACTCAGGAAGGCTGCAGCCACAGTGAGATGTTGTGAGATAACCTACCTGCTAGCGGTGTGAGACAGGTGCACCCAGTTTACTGAGCATCCTGGCAGTAGAGCGTGATACTCCACTCCCTTTCAGAGAGCCTCTCATGAGAATCCCAGGTCCCAGGCAGCCACTTAGGACCAACAGCATTTGCATGCCCTGTGGGGACCTTCCACCAGGTTTCCATTGCCACAGCTTCTCTGGAGGGACACCGAAGGCTTGTTTGATTTCTAAGGCAAACAAATGCATTTCTCCCAAGAATTAATCACCTGAGAGGCCTGATTCCTGGAGACACACTCACGAAGCCTTTCTCTCGGAGAAAGATGCCTCCACTGGGGGAGCCCCACCTGGGTGTTTCAACACCACATTTAGCCAACGTCACCTGCAGGTTCTCCAGCTGGATGGAATATCTTCTGCTCTCTTATACCCCGTCAGGGTCAGAAATCTCCAAGCAGCATCTATATCAAAGGAACAGGATAACTCTGTTGTCAGAGCAGTCATTTTATGTGATCAAACTCCTAGTTTAATGTATTGAAAGGAGGCTTTGAAAGGCGTACATCAGCCCATCTCCTGTTTGAATATTCTCGCTGTTGAGCACGTTATATTTTACCTTACTGTTAAATGTAGTGCCAAAATCTCTATCAACGAATGTAAATGTCTGCCATGACAGCAGCATTTTTAATGTGAGATGTGCAGCGTAAGTACAGGAGATTCCATACGGTGCCTACCAGAGATGTCCTTTTGTCCCTTCCAGAGGCTTGGCAGAAACCATGCATTCCCTAAAAGCTGGGGGGTCCCGTTCTTGGCAGAAACCATGCATTCCCTAAAAGCTGGGGGGTCCCGTTCTTGGCAGAAACCATGCATTCCCTAAAAGCTGGGGGGTCCCGTTCTGTGTCTGAGTGCTGGAGCTCTGAGTCAGCATCCTGAGGCTGGCCTTTCGTGTTCCTTGGGTGACACAGTGACTGCTATGTCCCTGGGCCAGCAACAGATTCCCCTAAAGTTGATTGTACCCCTTTTCTAACACATAGCAGCAGAGACAATGACCTGAGGTTAAAAGGAAGCCACGTGGTCAGAGCACGGAGCCTAGTGTGAGTGGCACAGGTGCCCATCTGACTGCAGAAACCAGGGCATCGTGATGGAGCTGCTGGGACAAGTTCACGCTGGCCTCAGCCTCGCGAGTAGAGAGAAAGTCTCAGGTGACTTATCCCGGCTGGATGCCATTATTTGTTCATCCAGTCGAGCATTTTCACTTCTATAATAAACTGAAATGTGGACTTTACTGAGAGGTTTTGTTTTAGATAAAACAAACGTATACAAACTCCCAGATTATTACAATAAGAACCCACAGGTTATAGAAGGACTATTATTTATAATTTAAGGTTAAGTATTTATTTTAATTTCAAGGATCCTCCAGCATTGTTGTTTACGTGAATCAAAATAGTACCAATAACGTCAGTTTCCAACAGGCATATTTAATCACGTTACTGAGTTTGGTCTTCACATTGATTGCAGAAGACATATAGGGCAGAAGCTCTTTTTCTCTCATCATGCAAATTAGAAACTGAGGCTAATTAAGATGATATTATTTTCTGTAGGTGGTGGATAGATAATCAAACACTTTGCATGGTTTTCCTTGTAATGGAACTCATGTTCTCCTGATCACCTTCTGCTTATTTGAACAACAGGGGATAATACCTGAGAAACTCATTTCAGATTAAGTTCATATTTAATTAAGCAAACTTATATTTATTATACAATAGACCTAACATAGGCTGGTCTTTTGCGTGAAGAATTTTGTTTTCAGAATACATCATTACAGACTTAAGTTCACACTAATTAAAAATCCCCTTGTTATGCTAAAGTTAAGAAAGTTATTGTTCAATGGTCATAGATTTTTCTATTATCAGATCTTTTTATGTTATATTTTTTGGATTCCTGTGATTTGAGAAATATATCGTAAATAGATATATAATACCTAGCAAGGTATGGTTTATATTCATAATCCAGTCCACTAAAATACCTCTAAATCAATGTATACACACACACACGTATATTCTTCATAGCAGACATTGCATCTTCCCATAGACAGGAGTCACATTTCATGAGGAAGAGCCTAGAAATG